CCGACCAACTAATATTTATACACACACACACACACACACACACACACACACACACAGTTTCAAAAGGGCTAATTTCCCAAAATTGTGGGAAACTATGAATGAAATTGATTGGGATGAAAAATTTAGCTGGAAAAATGTGATTGAAAAAAGGGGGAAATAAGATAGCAATCGGTATACTTTAGAAGTTATGAAGTGTATAAAATTGATTAGGGAAGCTAAAGCCATCAGGGAATAATCCATAGCTGACAAGGTTAACGACAAAAAGGAGGAGTTTAAATATATTAGGAACAAAAGAAGTCCTAGTTTAGGCCCATTACTAGATGGAAATGGTAAAACTTAATGATGCAGAAAAGGCAGAAGTGTTAAATAAATATTTCTGTTCTGTATACTGTATTTGGAAAGAAGGATGATATTCTCGTATTGCATGAGGATGATGTACTACATTCCAGTCCATTAGTAACTAAGGAAGATGTTAAATATCATCTACTAAGGACAAACGTTTTTAAATCAGCAGGCCTGTAAAACTTGCATTCAAGATTCCTAAAAGAGCTGGTTGAGTTCTCTAGCCCACTAGCATTAATTTTCAATAAATCTTGGAATACTGAGAAATTTGAGAAGACTTGTAGAGTGCTGACACTGTGTCAATATTGAAAAAGGACAAGCGGGATGACCTAGGTAATTATAGGCGAGTTAGCCTAACATCAGTCCTGAGCAAAACTATGGAAAAGCTGATAGGAGATTTAATCAATAAAGAACTAAAGGATCGGAATATAATTAAGGTCAGTCAACGTGGTTTTATGGAAAGTAGGATTTGTCAAACAAATCTGATTTCATTCTTTGATGAGATTACAAATTTGGCTGATAAAGTGAACTGTGTAAATACAATATACTCAGACTTTCGTAAGGCATTTGACATTCTGATTAAAAAAATAGTGCTACACAATATCAATAAAGCACACGGTAGGGTTAAGAGTTAGCTAAGTGACAGACCTCAAAAGTAGTTGTCAAAAGTGACTTGATTACAGTGTTCAAATACCTTCACACGGAATGAATACCAGGTACTAAATGGCTTGTTAGTGAAGAAAGGCAGAACAAGAACCAACACTTGGAAGCTGAAGCCAGACAAATTCAAATTCGAAATGTAGACACAAATGTTTAAACTTTGAGGGGGATTAACCATTGGAACAAACCACCAAGGGCAGTGGTGGGCTCTCCATCCCTTGAAGTCTTCAGATCCAGACTAGATGCCTTTTTGGAAGAGATGATTTAGCCAAACTCAAGTTATTGGGCTCAGTACAGGAGTAACTGGAAGAAATGTAATGACCTGTGATATACAAGAGATCAGACTAAAGGTTCTAATGGTCTCTTCTGGCCTCAACGTCCATGAATAAAAGCAATACTGTATCAGGATGGTCTGGCCTGTTAGGGAGTCCCTGCAGCCTGCTTTTGTTAGTGGAGTAGCTTGTTTTTCATGTTACTTCGTGAAGTTTTGTTTGAAGAATAAACTGTGGCCCGAAGGAAGGGCCTGGACAGACTCTGGGTCTTAATCCTACCAGGGCTAGGGAAACAGGTCAGTAGCCCTTCAAGCACCTAGGTTAAACAACGAACAAAGCACCTGAAATGTGTGCTAGGTCATATTGCAGAATCCAGTGGGACAAATAACATCCTATTTGCAACCCCTGGAGCTATGGGCTGCTGCAAGCGATAGAGGCTCCCAGAGGCAAAGCTTTCATCTCACCTCTAAATGTGGAAGTGCAAACATTGGGCCAGATCCTCTGGTGATTTAGGACAACTTTGCATCCTGCCGTGGATACAAAGGTGAGCTAAAACCAGCTCATCTGACCACAGGAGGGTCTCCCCTATGTACACGGACCCTTGGGTAGCACACAGCTGCTGGAACAGTGCATGTGGCCAGGGGAAAGGAGGACAGAGCTGTGGGCATGCCTAGAGCCGAAGGGTTGCCAACTCTCCAGGATTGACCTGGAGTCTCCGGGAATTAAAGATTAATCTCTAATTAAAGATTACGTCATGTGATGAAAACTCCAGGAATACGTCCAACTGGCAACCCTTCTAGTGTGTCCCTATGCCCTGGCAATCCCTGGCTACTAGAGGGAGTAAACGCAAATTACAGCAGCCACTTGGTGGCAGATTTTTCTATTCTTGGGGCTGAAACACCTGGCCTGTACTTTTCTATAATGTCTCCCAGCCCCATCCCATCCCACTGCACCTGCCTGTGCTGATCTTACGGGAGCTGGCTAAGCCTGGGGCCACCCACACACCTTTCAGGCTTGGCAACACACAGAAAACAGCCACTGC